ATGAGCGTTGCGATTTCCCCGCCAGAGAGCGGGTTTTTCGAATTCGACTCTGAGGCGCGTGCCGCCCGAGCAGGGGCACATATTGTGATGATAGCGCCCGAACAGGGGCACCAGATACCGCATCGATGCATCGGTATGTGTGAGCGAGCCGCGATGTTGAGTTTCATTCATAAAAACCGAAAGAGGGCTCATCTCGTGCCTCAGTTGTGTTCGGACAAGCAAACGCGACGGTTGGAATAGAAGAAACTAAAAAGCAAGCCAGCAAGCTAGCAAGTTAGCAAGAAATCAAGAAAGCAAATCTAAAGCAAACACTTGTATAGATATATATTCAACGCGTTATATCTATTGGAAAATTCTAAACAAAAAAAGAAAATAAAATAACAAAACGTTTTGTGAAGTGATACAGAGAGCAGTGCCAACAGAAACAAAAATTCCATAAAATAAAAACCAAGAAATACTCGAATATTAAACCAAAACTTAAGTAAAAGTGAAAGGATATTTCGGCAGTTGGCGACGGCATGAATGAAAAAAGCCCACAGCCGCATAAGATGATTACACGAGCAGTGCTTTATTGATTTTTGCCTCGCAGTGAGAACGAACGAAACTTTCGTGCAGCTGACAGTGAAAATTATTCAGCCCGTCTAAGAGCGAGGAAAAGCCGAGAGGGCGACACAAAAGCCAAAGGAAAATCCCTTTGAATTCTTCTGCAAGTGCCATTGCGATCCAGGTGGGTGTGTTTGCTTAAAAGTGATTCAAAAGGGGAACTATTTTCGTGATGTTTTCTCGCAGGCTTCTCACATAGAATATATTATATTAGTCAGTTTTTTAATAAAATGAAAAATGTTCCTTGTGAATTAGGCTGAATTATTGGTCAACAAATTTAATTTATAGGAACGCTAAGAGAGCATAAATTTTAGTGCTGATTTATGTGTGTTGTGTTTTATTAGAAAATTCAATGTTAGAAAACTAAAGATTTTTTCTGAGTTCTTATTGGCATTTGATTAAAAGGTTCTAACATTTTAACAAATATTTTTTAAATCCTTTTTTCTGGGAAGAAAACAATGGGTTTAAAAAAATTATATGAAATCAGTTCCTTTGTGTGAAGAAATCCGACAAATTTAAAGAAAAATCCACAATCCCTTGCCTCCTCTTGCCAGTCGGCTTAGTTTATTTGCACAGATTTAGTTGAAAGATATAAAAATTCATTTAACGCATAATAAAAATTTCTGCACGTTATTTAGATAGCACCTGGGAGCAGACACAGCCAAGCGTCAAAATTTACGACTGCAACTATGTATTCCCGAATTTATGTGGCCAAGCACAAGTCTATTTGCTTCTGCATTAGCCATTTGCAGTTTTTGTAATTAAATTATTGTCATACACTTAGCGCTCAATTAAAATAGCAATCTGCTCAGTTCAGATGTTTACAATTTGATGGCAAATTTTTGGTCCGTCTGCATTCCCCACATTTACATCGTATAGGTAAACATCCCCAGAGATCCGCCCCCGAAACGCCCAAAAACTTTTCCCGCTAATGTATTTCCTAGTGGCGGCTTGGAAATGGAAAAACAATTAGCAAAATGATTTACATGCAACCTCCCATAACCAAAACGAGCAATGGAAAAGCCAAAAGATCATTTATCAATTTTCAAAGCTTTTCCATCACTTTTCGTCAATTTTCGTATTTGGAAAATTAATTATGAGATCAAAACAAAAGGTGCCGACGTGCGGTGCTGGGTCGCTCGATCGGTCGCTCGGTCGGTAGAGTTCATTTAACACTTGCCGCAGTTGCCAAATGGCACTTTGACATCGCCCCCTCCCTCTCCCCCTGAGGATTGAATCTACCACTTTAAGTGGCCAAAAGCATGAAGTTGCCGTCGGGAGTTTTTCTGTTCATTTGGCTGCCAAGTCAAACAAGAAAATTTTCATTTAAGTGCCCACTAAAATGATTTCAAACAACAACAAAAAAAGTCTTTATAAAAATATACATATTCGGTGTGGTGTTGTTGTTGTCTGGCCTGCGGCTGTTTATTTTCATTAATTGTTCTCATGAGGAGGGAAAACAGGCAACCAGAGCTGTTGGCATGAAAAGTGTGACAAAGTGTTACGCATGCAAAAGACGGCGGCATAAGATACATTTTCATGTTGTCCATGTTAACTTGTTGGACACTCCTGGTGAAGGGAGGAGGAGGATGGGGATGTGGATGGGGATCGGGATGGGTGGGGTTCCCACTGCTCCCGCTGTGTGAATGATGGACTTTGTTGCCGCCCGGCCATTCCATCATCGTTTCGTTTTGGCTCCGTGTCGCATGCAACTTGCATGTTTTCTATCTATGTATCTGCAAGATACTTTTACTTCTTTACTCCTCGCACACTTGACTAATGATCGCCATCCCTTCTCCTTTAAACGTTTCTCCAATTTCTTTTCTTATTAATAACCAAAGATAACAAAACAACAAAAATCTTGCCTTATTATTGTTATTATTAATTGAGATATATGTATGTATGTATCCTCCACCAAGGTTGGGAATGCAAATCTGGCGATATTCGAGTACCGGATAGTATTGCACAAGATCTCCCAAGACAACAAACTTGTAGTTTATTTTTGGAGCCGTTAAGTAGCCAAAGGTCGCTTAGCGCGTCTCAAACGTTTAATCCTCAATGAGGTCTTCAATGCTGCCAATGAAAACAAATGGTCAAATAGCGGGGTCTGGGGGTCAGACGGCCATGGCCTGTGTATAGGTATATATCCCCACCTCATTTGCCAAAGCAAACAAATTGGCGCCCATCTATCGAATTGTTAACACTCTCGACTGAGGTGAAATAAAAATAGGTAAAGATAAAACAGAAAAAAAAAAATAAAAGAGCATATAGAACCCCAAGAGGAACTATGGAAATGGCTAGAGCCGCGACAGCTGCAACCGGTTTGGCAAAACTTAATTAAAATAATATCAACATAACAATTTTTTCATGCTCCGCGTTTTTTCCTTCGCTTTTTTTCTCCGCCTTACCTCTTCCTCATCGAGCCGTTAAATGTATCTTTCGGATATCCATCTCACTCTGGCCCACAGCCACTGCCAATATTCATTCATGGCGCAGAGATCTTGACGTGTGTTGTCTGTCCTACTACACTAAAAACAAAATCAGGAAAAATGCTATGCAAAAATATGCAGAGTGAAAGAAGTCAGGGGATCCGGGCCGGAGACAAGATTTACAATATACATAAACGCAAACGACAGTGGCAATTGCCTAAGATGAACGGGAGAGCTTAAATGGAAAATGTAAGCCAAAGGAAGCACGATTGAATCGATTGTACAGGTAGTCGTCTATCAACATAGTTCCTTTTCCTACCCACCCGTAATCTTCTTAGCCAGTTGCCACTGTAGATAAGCAACAGCTTTGGCCTGCCGTTGTTGGTTTTTCTTGATATTTATTTTTTTTTTAAGGGAGTGTCAATTGTTAGCCAAGTTATTAAGAACCACAGGGGAAGACAAAGACCGGGCCAAGAAGTCCAAAGAGGTGGTGGTCTCCAACCAGTTTTCAGATTCAGACTTTGAGAGGTTCGAGGTATTGGATTTTTTTTATACACATTTCGGCCGCCCGCGGATGATTCATGTGGCAAGAGAAGAAAAAGATACAAATCTTTGATCGACTGTAAAACTTATTGACTCGGGCGCATAATTTTATGAATGAACAAAACACAAAAGCCAAAGGCACAGGCACAGCACGCGCTGGCCCAACACAAATGTATCTCTAGATGCCGTGTGTATCTGTATCTGTAGCTGAATATGAATCTGAATCTGAGTCTGAATCTGTGACGGAGGCCCACAGTTTTGAATGTAATTTCACTCGCTGCCCGTCTCGAGTGCACTTTGCCATGGAAATTATGCGTGAAATCAAATGTAAATAAAAAAGCAAAAGTGCCAAAAGCGGGACGCTGTGGCTTTGCCTCTTCGTCGGTCTGTCGGATATTCCGTGGCACGGTAGTTATTTTGGCGCATAGCTGCCTGTCAACACAAGTGCACTTGTAATGCAAATCAACGCGGTCAAGCCTTCGCCACAGAAAAATACAAAAAAAAAACTGAAAAAATAATAATAAAATAAAACAACACTCGAGCGCTTGGATGACGCCACATCGAGCAGATCGAAGAAGAGGATCGGCGGCCCAGTGCCGAAAACTCGTTGCAGATGGCAATCGCAATTTCGGTTAGTTTATCTGTGATAAACATACACGGCAAAACTACAAAATAAATAATAAGCCAAGTTTATGAGACATTTGTTTAGAAAAATTGGCTAGTCCGCTGATCAGGCGCCTCTAATTGAGACTTGCATAAGTTCGCGGCTCTGGGGGATTGCGTAAGGTCACCGAATGACCCACTTCCCGGGATGGAAAGCCCAAACCTGGGTGATATTATGGGTGCTACTTCCATGGGAAAGACGCCTGTTCTACTTCTCAGGGCTCCGAGCTAAGTGCTTAATCGATCTTAATTTAATTGCCTGCGATCGTGGGCGCAGGAGGCGAAAGTCTGCGACAGTTTCCGAAGACAACTGAGACAACAACTCGATGGCAAATTAAATTGTTAAGTAATTTCATCGCTTTTGGATGACCCTAAGGCACTCACTCACCGATGACTGCCTGGTTATGCAATCGAACAGCTGTCGTGGCAAATCAATTGAAAGCCAAAGTGCGCAGCATTCGCATTATGATTTTGCATGAGTCAAAGTCTGCGGTTACCAACTCTGATTACACTCGACTTTTCATCATGAAATGTACCATTTCGTCTGATTTTCATAGTAATTATTTGGAAATGATACGCTTATGCTTAAGGGATCCATCTTTTCTGACAAACTCCTCAATTGGTTTCAAAAAATATTATCCATTATTTAGTCAAATTTATTCCAAAACATTTTCTAACATAGATATATTTTTAAAAAATATTTTAAAAATTTATAAAAATTTCCATAACTATAATCTATATTTTTCTCCATTATTTTTGCAGGCGGCGTAGCCCCTGGAACTCCATCAGCGGCCATGATCATGGAAGGGCTTGAAACCCTGGTGGCGCCAACGCATCACGCATTCCTGCTCACCGAGACGGCCGCGGCCGCTCACTTCAATGTGCTGAGCTTCGACACCTGTCTGTTCAAGACGAGCACGGCGGCCCAGAGCAGCGGCAGTCCCTCGACGGCCACCTATCTGAGTCCGGCCCAATTCGGTGGCCACAACGGTGGCGCCAGCACCAGCAGCAACTCCCTGAACTCCTCCGCCGCCTCCTCATCGTCCTCGTCCTCGCTGCTGCACTACACCACCGCATCGGCAGCCGCTGCCGCTGCAGCAGCCGCCGCCGCCGCTGCATCCGCCAACAATTCGGTGCTCCGTGCCCGCAACCAGACGGCCACGCCCACCCAGGGCGGCAGTCCGGGACACGTGGCCGTTCAGCCGAGCGCCACCGCCAGCAGCGGACGCAGTTCGGCCTCGCATCTCAGCCTGCTGAACACCAGTGGCCAGCACAGTCCCACCTCCTCGGCCGTCGAGCAGGTGGAGGCCCACAAACAGCTGATCGAGGCGCTGCCCGGCGATCTCAACACGCCGGTGACCACGTCCAGCGATATTCCCTCGTTCTTCGGACCCAGCACCGTGGTGGAACCACCACCCATTACTGGTGAGTAGAACACTATTTAAACATTTTTTAAAGAAATTTAATTTTATTTTTATTTTTAATAAATACATTTTTTTTAAAAAGTACTTTCTAATTTTTTATTTTATGTTTTTTCCGAATTTATATATTTTTTCTGGAATTTTATGTCAATCCGTTCTAAATGATTTAAGCTACTTCCCGTTTTTTGGGGAGACCTTTATATTAGTCTAGACACATTTTTACATTATTATTAATTCAATTATTATCACATTAAAATGTAATATTAAAGATACTAACATAACTAAAGGATTTTAATTTTTTCTCCTTTACATTAAACTTTAGCCTTATAAATATTACGATCCTTAAGTCGATATAATTTAAAATATAGCGAAAGTATATTATACCTCACGGTAGTTCAATATTATAATACACCCTATAAATCGTGGCCACAAAGGCCTCGAGAAACATTTATAGAGTTTTGTTTAGCTGCACCATCGGCTGGCTAGGAGAAACTCGGGCCGTGAGGTTTCTTTATCTGCTGCTAATGGATGCAGCTTGCAGCTGCCACATGCAGCAGCAGCAGCAGCAATGCCAGTTGCACAGTCCGCAGTCCTCAATCCGTATGGAGTCTGCAACTAATCCGTTGTCAGTCTTAAGTCTCAACATAAATCAGCCTCAGCGGAGAGCGCAGAAAACTGTCGTTATGTTAGGCCATATCTTGACTTACTTCTGCGCCACTCCAGCAAAACGTACATAACTCGGCTTTGTCTTTCACCGGACTTCCCGCAGACCTTTTCTCCCTGGGCTCGGCCCGAATAACAAGTTCAAAATCAAAAATAAACATTCGAAAATGTTCAAGTACCAATTTTTATTTGAGGCATTTCTTTATTTGCACGTCTTCTGATTTGTTGATCTTGTTTTTCATTTTCTGTTTTTGTCTGTCTTTGTGATTTTGTTATTAAGTTATGGGGCTTTTAAAGTGGCCTCCAGCCAAGAGCTTCATGTATATGTATGTACTTTTGGTCTTTGCTCACATAAATATAAATTAATAAAAACGCTGACATCCCAATGGCTATATCACCGTATAGACTTCATAAAATTTATGTCATAAAATTTTTATTTTTATTTTAGCTCTCACTTTTTATTAATGTCAAATAAAATGGAATTTTGCAATACTCACGACGTGCAGCGTTCTCATATTTCTAAGACTGCATAATAAAAATAATAAATAAAAAGCCAACAACGTCGCTTAATTAATCTAGCGACAACAACAACGGCGCATGTATTAAACATTTCCGTTCAGTGTCAATGTTTCGAGCGCAATTTTCTCACTAGCAACTGCCTCAAGATACGCGGACCCACAGAACAAAAAAAAAACCATATCATACTTGGAGATATATATACATACGAATGTATATATCTACCGACATATGGAGCTGCATTTCTAATTGAATTAAGGCAAAGCAAGTAAAGTATACTAGATTTGCTGCTGCTATCAAAAACAATTGAGTTTAATTGCTCTCTTTACCCCGAAAGAATGACAACTTTTTCACGTTTCTCTAAAGCAGAGAGAGCGTTAAGATCCATTGAAAATGCATAAAAACCAATGAAAGATTGGAAACGACATTCATGTGTGTGGCTCGACTAAAATATGTTTTAGCTATAAAGTTAGCCAGAAGCCAAAAAAATGTCACTCATAAATTCTGGCCACTGCCCACGCAGACAAGACATTATTTTTGTTGGCTTTGGCCAAACGGAAAAGAAAGAACAGCTAAAATCATAGACATGGACAATTTTCAAATGAAAATCCATTAAAACAATTTGCATGACAATGATGGAGCGGCTTTTAATCGCCAAACTTGGCAAGCTGGCGAAACAGAATCGAGAGCTTGGACGAGCTGGTCGGCCAGAAAGGCTCCATATTGGCCAGACTAGAATGCGTCTCCTTCTTGGCCCTGTCACAAATGAAACATAATTTGTAGCCTTCTTTTATTTTGTCTTTTTTTGGGGGACATAATTTGCCCTGACAGCATTAATGGAGCTTGCAAATATATATGAGTATATGGGGACTAGAACAATAGAATCGCTATCGCGAAAATTTCTGTGAATCCCATTCCCCCCGCTCCTCATTCGGCTAAAACCAGATTGATGTCGCAGCACATTAGGCGCATTGCAACTCAATCAATATCCAGGCTAAAGCTCAAGTCCGAGCGGCATTAATGACGACAATCGTGAGCAGTAAGAAAAATAACAAAAAAAAGAGCAGAAAAGGGGAAAAGAGTGCTGGAAAAGATTCCCTCGGCCTGGTAGCCGCGTAATTAGTCTTCTCGCCGACACTTTTGCCTGGCATCGAAAGGGGGGATCCCCCACCAACTGCAACTGCAACTGTCTTCTGGTCTTCTGCCGCCGGCAGCTTCTGCACTTCTGGACTTGGGCTTCTGGCACGATGAGCGATGATGCCGACCTCCCGTGTCGTTCGATTTCCGCGAAATCAAAGCGCGCCCAGCTGCAGTAGCTGAGTGCCAATGCCGTTCGGGCGAACTGTGATTGATATCGTTGCAGCAGCAACATCAGCAGCGACTTTAGCAACACCAGCAATCAAGACTTTTAGGGCAATGAATTACTCTCCTATATAACCAAAATATTATCCAGTTTTATTCCAGCTGAAATGCTGTATACATTTCTCTGGAAATTACGAAAAATAAATGATTGGCTTAAGTTTAAGACATCTGGTTTCCTTTATAATGTTTGATTCATGGAAAACACTTAAATTTTTAGAAAAATGAATTCTTTTTAATGACCTAAGACAGCTATTACAAAACAGAGACATTTAACATCATAAATTATTTTAAAAATATTTTAAAAGCCCACAAAAATTTAACAACACATCTATCCCCTTTTCATTCCAGGTTCTATCGAATCCGAGGATCTGTCTTTGGAACCACAGGTGATATCGGTGGCCAGTCCTGTATTGTCGCATTGCAGTCCGTTGAAAGAAGAGCGCAGTACTCCACCAACTTTGGCAATTGTCAAGGAAGAATCAAGTAATAATAGTTGTAATATGTACCCACAACACAACAACAACAACAACACCACATCATCATCAACACCAACGACAACCAAACAGACAACAAGCGAAAGCATCAACAACAACACTGAGTGCGTTGGCTCACCTGGCAACCACACACAATCACACCAACAACAACAACAGCTGCATCACAACAACAACAACACGACCAGCAACAACAGCAATTGCCACCACAGTCACCAACAACAACAACAGCAGCAGCAACAACAACACATGAGCTCCCCGCAACATCAATACCAACAACACCAAATATTACACCAACAACAACAATTGCCAAATCATCACCATCATCATCATCATCACCACCACCATCACAGTCAACTACAACTCCAACAACAACAGCAACAACAGCAGCAACACCAACAACAGCCGCTACACCAACAACAGCAATTGCAACACCAGCAGCAACAACACCAACAACAACACTATCAACAGCATGGCATTCAACAACAGGCTAGCAAAATCTCATATCGTGGCATTTTCACCACCACAGGCAACGCGATGAACGCAGCAGCCGCCGCAGCAGCAGCTGCCCAGCAGCAACAGCAGCAGCAACACCAACAGCAGCAGCAACTTCCCTCCCCGCAACTGGGCGTTCTAGCCGGGCCAATGTCACCGCCCTCAAATAGTTTGGGCAACAGTTGGGGTCTTCCCAGTCCCGATAAGACCATGTTCCAGCCGCCCCTGTTCAGTCTGCCCGCTCACTATGCCACCATGCAGCAGCAACAGCAGCAGCAGCAACAGCAGCAACAACAGCAGCAGCAACAGGCGGCAGGAGCTGCCCCATCGCCGTACGACGATGGACGAGCTGCAGCAGCAGCTGCGGCACAGCATGCTGAACTACTTGGCCTGACCATGGAATGTTCACCTCTTTTGCTGAAGCAGCCGCCGCCAACTTACGCCGGAGCCTCGTCGGGATTCGCGGGCCTGGCCGACCTGCACAGCAGCCACGAGCAACAGTTGCAGCAGCAGTACGTGCGATCGCAGCCCAAGTACCAGTGGTTGGACTCACCAGCGGATTATGCCCAACAGCAGCAGCAAGTGCAAGTGCAACAGCAGCAGGTTCAACAGCAGCAACAACTGGTGCTGCCGGGACCCACTTCTTCGGCCAGTTCCAGCAATGCAGCCTTGGGAGTTTTAATACCCAAACAGGAGAGCTATCCGGATATGCAGCCCAGTTCGAATGGCACTGGATATTCAGCGGGATCCGGGGGAAGTTCTGCGGCAGCCGCTGCCGCCGCCGCAGCAGCAGCAGCAGCTGTGCAATTGGCGGAATACAGTCCGTCGACCAGCAAGGGACACGAGATCCTGTCGCAGGTCTATCAGCAGAGCAGTGTGCCCTTGAAGCTGGTGCCCGTGAAGCCGCGCAAGTATCCCAATCGGCCCAGCAAGACGCCCGTGCACGAGCGACCCTACGCCTGTCCGGTGGAGAACTGCGATCGCCGGTTCTCCCGCTCCGACGAGCTCACCCGCCACATACGCATCCATACGGGCCAGAAGCCGTTCCAGTGTCGCATCTGCATGCGCAGCTTCAGCCGCAGCGACCACCTCACCACCCACATTCGCACGCACACGGGCGAGAAGCCATTTAGCTGCGATATTTGCGGCAGGAAGTTTGCTCGCTCCGATGAGAAGAAGCGACATGCCAAGGTGCATTTGAAGCAGCGCATTAAGAAGGAGAAGGTGCGTGGCGAACAGCAGCAGCAGCAACAGCAACAGCAGCAGCAACAACAGCAGCAGCAACTGCAACAGCAGCAACAGCAGGAGCAACAGCAACATCACCTGAGCCTGCAGCAACATCAGCAGTACCAGCAACATCACCTGCTGCACTCCACCGATTTGGCCATAGTCACCTCGAGTGCGAGCATGTAGAGACTACAGAACTCGGCATCCAGCGTGGACAAGGCCAAGACTCCGATGCACAAGGTTAGTCTGGCTTTAGCCCTGGATCTCGACGAGAGCGCCTTCCCCTTCGAGCTGACCTCGGACTATGGCACCCTGTCGCCCCTGACCAGTCCCAGGCAATTTAATTACGTGTGGGTCGGGCAGGATTCCAGCCAGCCCTTCTTCTACAAGGACAGCAGCAGCACCCAGGAGAAGCAGGGCTAAGGATCCAGATGCGGAAACAGAAACAGGAGAATCAATCGCTGATGCTGAATAATCATTTAATGTTTACTGAGTTGTAGTCGTAAAATCGGGGTTGTGCTATCAGCAAAATATATGCAAGACATTAAATCGTAATGAAGATACCATATGCTACAGTTAGCCTAGATAATATCACAAACAAAAAAACAAAACTAAACACACATCCAAGAATGGTCAAGATAGGAAAAATCAAGAAAGCAAAGCAAAACAGAGTTACTAACCATACAAAGCCTAACTAAAGCAAGTTGATGATTACTAATTATATTCGATGTAATTGAAATGGGAAAATATTTAACTTATGTCTCTAATACTGTGATCTCATGTGTAATAATTATTAATTTTAATTTCTTTACATAACTGCAAATAACCAGAAATAATTTTAAAAATTATAATCCTTTCGCCTTTGCCTAGCTAATGTTCATTTTTTAAAAATGCTAACACAAAACACACACACACAAAAACACTAATTTATTGCATTTTAAAGTAATTATAAATATATATTATAATTATTAACTTATTGTCTTAAAGGTTTAGATTTAGGTTTTAACATACCGAATACACAATTGAACACACAAATCTTAGCATATCATTTTTTCCTCTAAGCATTATAAATTGCATAAGTTGAAAACAAAAATTACTTTTAAATCGAATAATGGAATTTTCGAGTGCTAATTAAAAAACGATGAGATGAAACTTGTTTAACAAAAGCGGAAACTTAAATTTTTGAAAAATGCCCCAGTGTACTTCCTTAATTGATTCGAAATCAAAATGGCAAATGAAAATTAAATTTTATTATACTATATTTTAATTAATTATATGTTCAATCTACTGTAGAAATCAATTTCTTCTTAGTTTTTAAAGCTTTATCTTAAGTTTAATTAATTTTTATATTTATAGTTTACTTTACATTTGAAAATATATAACAATTTTTTAAAAAACATACTTTATTTGTGTATTATTTTTTGCTATTATTGCATATTTAATTTTTTATATATAAAAAGATAAAAAACGAATGGTGCATGCTAAATAGATGGTTTCGGTTCGCAGTATCTGGCAATAAGGATCGAATAAAAAGTTCAGCGTTTCGTAGGTGTTAGACAATAGAAATATTGAATATCCTTCAGTACAAGAAAAGCTTTCAGTCCTTTTTCCCCACACCTTTCCCTCAACTTTTTCCATAGCTATATATATTTTCGTATGGCTATGAATCACACAGTATACCTATAAAATAAGTATAATTGTAATAAGATAAAGAAATTTGATGTTCAGCTTATTCTGAATGAGTCTGGCGCCTCAAAAACTACAGCCTAACGAACTTGAAACGAAGTAGAAAGTGTAGACAACACACGAAAAACAGAAACTTAAATGGAACTCTTGTGCCACTTGACAAATATATTTGTTGATGTATACATAAATTTATGCAGAGAGCAACGATAGCTGAAATACGAAAGTAACGAATGGTTTGAGAATGTTTTAAATTCGGATCTATTTTATAGCAAAAATAATGGTGAACATACATATATTTTGCATAGCCGCTAAAATCAGACACAAATTAGCATTAGGACCGAGTAAGGTTAAACCGTATAAATAGATATCGGATAGGTAAAGGGCAGTGCCAAAAATTATAAATAAACACACACCCTTCCCAGAGGATCATAATATTAATCTATATATTTGTATTGAAAGATTGTCATTTCCTAGCTAGTGTAATGTTCAGATTAAGTCACAAAGTATCCAAAAATACAAAATGAATGTGTGAAACTTATGTGCCATCAAGAAAATAATGAAGCTTATAAAACACAGAGAAAAAGATGAAAAAAATAATTATATTTAAAGAATCGATTTTGAAATTTTAAACGTTGTGATTTATATTGTTCATTTAATGCATGGTTCAGTGTTGATAATTATTAATAAATATTATTCAGTCATTTATCCAGATGGGCAAAGCTTAAGAAAATTATATCCATAGGTGTATTTAAATGTGTACATATGTAGGTGTGTTTATAACTCAAGTTGCTTATGGACAGTTTTTCTTCCATATATAAATTACATGAATGCGAAATTCACTTGGATAAATGTGTTTTATTGATGCATACTTAGCTAGACAACAATTATTCGTAGCTAAGCAAAATTCAACAAACATTTAATGCTCAAATGGCGAGGCTTGCAAAATGTTTTTTGTAGATTTCGCATTGCAGTTCAAATATAATTTGTTTGTGCGTTAAATACCTAGGATTATAAGAGTGTTTCTTAATGTTTTTTGTGTGCACATCAAGTACTTAATTACCATCTAAATGAATATATATAAAGAGACTCTCAATTCGTATACTCTAATTTTCAAGACTGTCTTTGTGTTTAGATCGTTAAGTCGTCTGTCGAATCGGTTCTATCATCCACAAAAATATATCAGTTACTTCTTATAAATTCAACACCTAATATATATCCCTAACAATAAGTTGATATTTTATGTCAAAGTAAACTAACAATATTCAAATTATATATTAAATACAAGAAAAATATGCAAATTTGGCAGAAACACTTTTTGAACAAATTAAAGAAACGAAATTTAAAATTTAACTAAACCGTGTTCTTTATTCCCTGTTTTTTCTTTATCATCTCGCACGTTCGGCGAATGGATTCCGTTCTGGTCATATAAATTAGTTAGGCATTCGTTTCAATAAGCCATATCGTGGCCATATATAGCGAAATGCAGCCCCAATAAAAAGCGCAATAAAATTGAAAATAATAGCCAAAGCGGGGCAGAAGACGACGACACGGACGATATATGCCAGCACTCAAAACTAATGAAATGTTCCAAACTCCAAAGCGATTGCAGCCACCAGCGGCAGCAAAAGTCGACTGACTAGAAAGAAACGCTTGACTCTTCGGCTCTTCGGGTTCTACCTATTGGTGGTGGCGATTCTCCTCCTGGACCACCGCTCACCTGTTGCCACCGATCACCTCACCTCACCTCCCCAGATGGAGAAGGCCGGCTGGGCTGCCAGCAGCGACAGGCGCATGTCGGGCCAAAAATTCTTCAGCTTTTCTGGTTGCCAAAGACGAGCAGCCAATGTCTGGGACGCGGCAAAAGTTATGAGCGCAATTCTCTCGTAAAAATGCAAAAAGGAAAGCAAAACTTGGTAGCTCTAGAAGAATTAAAGATGCTCTCACAAGGCAGAGGAAAAAATAATTTTATCGTTTTATTTAACTAAAAAAAATTCTAAAGAACTGAACAACTTAGTTGAATAAGTGTAGATTTCTTCAACAGTTTTTATACATTTTTAAAACAATTCAATTAGCAACCTGAAGTTAATTAAATTTAAAAATTAATTCAAAAATTGATTTTAAATTATTTAAAGTCGTTTATCAACTTCTCAAGTTTTCGTTCGATTTTTTTATTTCTTAGCCCAAACATGAGTATCGAATTACAACAAGTTCTGTTCATTTATTCATAGAAAATCAGCTTCTGAACTATAGTTTCACAAAAAGTAATAAATTACAACAAGTTTAGCGCCCTCCGTTTCTGTTCTATACAATGTGCATATTTAATATAAATTATTTTAAAACCTTTGAGCTTTATTTAAATATATTTATATGTATTTTCCCCTAAACAATGCAAATATTTGCCATATCAAGACATGTGTGATGGTTATAAAGAAGAGCTTGAACAAATATTTCTCGATATTTAATATTATCGAATCGTTATAGTCAAAATATCGAAAATATCGATACTTTTCAAGCTCTATTTTAAAGCATTTCTTTAGGAAATAAGTTTTCGAGAGAACAATAGGTAATGCCTTCTTCACAAAGCCTTTAAATAGTTCAAAACCCCCGGCTGACCAGGGCATATAAATGCAAAATGCTTTCACGGCTGCGGCTTCCACGTCTTCGGCCTCTCGACTGCCACAGTTAAGGTTCTGTGGCGGTTTCTGTCTTGGCCGAAACTAGAAATTCTTGTCTGCGCAGCAATCATCATCGAACGAGAGCAGCAACTTTTGGAGAGGAAGAGCGAGGAGGAGATGGTGCTCGGATCTTGGAGCTGGGGATTCGCCTTGTGATTTGTGGGCTTGCGGTACAATTTGAGCCGCGAGCTGTGGCTACCAATGGCCAGTTGTTACCCGGGCCCAGTTTTAGCTTATGACAGGCGCAAACAAAATTATTCTGAATATAGCTGGGCAGCTAGGCAGCCAGGCAGTTGGCTGTAATCCCCATTCTTGAGTCCCAGTTCCTGGGCGAATCGAATCCCTGGCAGCAGGTGATGAACTGTCGGCAGTCCGGGGAGGCACACACATGTGTAGTTGTCGTCTTAAGTGCGCCTATTTGACATGTTTAGGTGTTTAGATGGCATGCCCGATATGCACCAAATTGATTTCGATTTGATAAGCTGCCACATTTCATCTTGGCCATTCGGTAGCTTCAATATATGGACACCAATATGGCTTAACGCTCGCTGGCTCTCTTGCTGCCACCAAGAAGATATCATCGGGATGGGAGTCATGCGATTTCGGAGGCGGAGGCGGGGGAAGTGGAAGTGGACCAGGTATATCTGCCAGCGAGGTGTCGCTGAACAGTCACTCAGCCAAAACAGCGACAACAACCGGCAACAGGCCGCAAACTATCACAAACCGGACTTTTTTATTTTAGAAAACCACAAAAAGGACCAGAGGAATGTCATGCAGGCAATCTCCATGCTGCCACGGCTTAATATCTTTGCTTAACTGCTAATG